CTACTCTTCCCTGCACACCCCTGTGGAGTGCAACATCCTATGCCTTACAGAATACATCATAAGTCCGTCTCTTTTTTAGCACGTCCTATAGGGTCCTTTAGGGTCTACAGAGAACCTGCCTATTTCTTTCATCTCCTGGCATTATCCACTTGCAGCTGTACTTACAGTCATGCTGAAATACATATTTAATTTTTTTTTTTTAAGAAAGATTTTTGCTGTAGGGCATGTGTGCTCACTAGAGAGACAGAGAGACAGAAAGCGAGAATCATCCCCACGGGGGATGGCCATGCCGCAATTCCTTCTCTCCGATCTCCTCTCAGGATCTTGGGCACATATGCAAACGTATCCAGTGTGAGTTTTAAGCCGCTGGGTCCAGGACTCAAACCATGGTCAACTACATGGAAATCCAGGGACATAACTATTTCATCATCTGCTGGTCTCCATATTTACAGTTTTTGTTATTTTTTGTGGATTCTTGTCCTTTTTAACATTGCCTCACAGCTTTCTGCTGCCTGAAATGAAATACCCCGCTATTCACTGGCAAATCAAACCCATTCATTTCAACCTACTTACAACTTAGAAATCTTTCTTGGCAAATTTATGTATTAAATTAAAACAAATTCCCTAGTGCTTGTTATGCGCAAGGCACAGCATCAGGAGTTGTGGCTACAGGTTCAAGACAAATGGTTATATGTTTGTATTCTAGTGAATTAATAAAAATAACTACCATATAAAACCTGCTCTGTACCAGGATTGTATTAAATACCTCACATACACTATTTTAATCCTTACAATAATTTTATGAGTCCCAGAAAAACTAACTACCCTTCTTGGAGTCACTCCTTATAAATGACTGCTTATATTTAAACACAAGTCTATCATGTAACTGCAAAGTCATTACTCTTAAGCTCTACTTACCCTGCTCTCATAACTCCTTGTTCATGTCTACTGTAGCACTTGCATAGTATTTTGAAATTGTTCGCATATGTCAACTCACAATGTCAACCACAGGACATAAAATTATGTGACTGTTTTCTCAGTTTTCTTTGGATGGTGCAGAAATAGTACCATTCTAGATGCCCAGAACAGAAATTATTATATTATGAAAAATGGCATCTGCTACACAGTGGGTATTATATACATTTCTTGTTACACTGTTATTCAATACATAGTCAATACTGTAATCAATCGTACTCAGCTTTTGGACTGAAAAACAAGTGGCTTCAGTCTTGCTTTGGGGGATGGCTTTGTAGGATAATGAGGCACTAAGTCTGCTCTTTATAGAATACCAGGGGTATTAGATCCAAACTTTAAGAGACAGCAGAATGCAATAGTGAACTACATGGACTCTGGAGTCAGGCTTCCTAGATTCCAATTCCAATATTTCTCATTATACAAATTACGTAAGTTATTCTATAACACATGTCATATGATTTCATAGGTACTTTATAATGTACCTTGATTTAATCTTAGTGTCTCTACATAGGAGATGCATGTACTATTCCTTAATAGCTAGCTTTGTGTCTGTTTGCTCTGTTAAATTGGGAAAATAAATGATCCCATAGAGTTACTATTAGTATTAAATGAGTATAAGGTGCTTAGAATAGCATCTTGCATAGAGAAATTTAGCTGAGTATCAGTACAGGCTGTAACCAGGGCAAGAAATCAGTTCAATACAATTTATCAATTTTTTCATTTTATGCTAATATTCACTTTAAGGACAGAGATGGCACTCTTTGGAATAGGGACTAAATCTTAACCATTTCTCAGTCAAGCTGGTTCTGTGTCTCTAAGGGAAAAACCCAGTGGCTGGTGCTGACATGGAAAATGTAGGAAAAAAATACCTCTGCAATCTGGACACTTTTCTACATGTCTCTGCCATCTCCCAAGTCCACATCTTGCTGGGATGGCTGCAGTAGCTTCCTAACTGGTTCACCAGCATCCTTCTCAGCTGCCTCTATTCTCTTCTCCAGGAACTTAACCTTCGTGAAAGAGATACAGATTGAATCACGGTGTGCTCATGATTCAAACAGTCCAGCAATAAATCATGGCCCAGACCTGCAACTTAGCTGACTTAAGGCCCATCCCTCCAATTTCATTCCTCCCAGTCCTCCATCCCCACCGCAGGAGTCTTCATTCATTGTTTAACAAATACTTATTTGCTTGTCTCATGTTTATAGACTCACTGAGAATACATCAGAAACAGAGAGTTCTTGTACTTACATTATTTACGCTTTGGGTGAGGGAACAAACCACCACCACCAGACACATAAAAAGGCAAGTTAAGCCATAGGTTGAATGCAGGAGAAAGAATTAAGTAGAGGGTACAACCTATGTGAAAGGTTTATATACGCTAGGGAGAACCTGTCTGAAGGTGTCCAGAGCAGGACTTACTGCACAAAGTTAAGTGAGGCTGGCCAGCACTTGGTGAGACACAGTAAATATTAGAACCTCATCCCTTTCACAGAGGGTTCACCTATCGCAGCACCTAAGAAAGTGCCCTGTCTGTGCAGCAAGCTGAACCCAGGGTGATCCTAGATCCTCTGTACTTTTTATTTTAGAAAAATCTTAAATATATGTGTGTACACAGTGTACACCATTATACCTTTAACTAATATTCACCAATTATGAACATTTTGCCCCATCTGTTTTCTCTTTTTGTTCTACTTTGTGGGAATTTTTTTGAAATGCTGTTGACACTTGGCTGCTAAATACATCACCAAGTACCTTCCAAAAACAAAGACGTTCTCTACAATAATCACAATTTCATTATCATACACTTTAAAACTGATTTGAAATCACCTAATGCTCCTCCATACTTAAATTTCCCCAACTGTCCAAGAAATGGCTTTTGTACTTACTTATTAAAAATAAGTGAACCAGTCAAAAGTTACAAATTTGGTTTCTTTTGTCTCCCGACTGAAGCAATCTTCAATTTTTTCTTTCTCCTGTCTTGTCACTAACATTTTTTAGGCCTGGTATCCTGTAGAATGTATGTACTGTTTTTTTTTTTTTTTCCTGATAGTTTCCTCATGATTGATCCATGTCAAACATATCTAGCACAAACAGCTAACAGGTGATTGATTGTCCCATTATTAGTGGTGTTTAGTACCCTTACTTGGTTAAGGTTTGTCTAACAAACCTCTCATTGTAAAATTAGTAATTTATAGGGCGATTCCTTCAGAGAGTGTTAATGTCCTGCTCCCGAACGACCTTTCAATGGTTCCAGCACCTTGCATCCATTGGTTGTAGCACTCATAAGCTTACCTATAAATATTTTTATACTGGGAGGTGAAAAATGGGACGCAGCGAGGGATGTGCCCGTCCGGTTTCCGGCCCCGCAGGCACTGGACGAGGAGGTGACTAGCTCGCCAGTCCTCCGCCCGTCCCGCGAGGAGTCGCGGGACTAAGTGTGGTGGCAGTGGCCTCACCTCGAGGCTTTGGCCTCGTCTTTATTGTCCCAAGGATAGAATCCGAGGTCGGCGTCCCAGCCAACAGACGGCGGTACCCATCACAGCCGCGAGGAAGCGCCCTAGCCGCGCAGCGCGCTGAGCCCAAGGGGAAACAGGGCCCTCGGCACCCGACGGCTCACGCGCCGCCTCCGCCGATTGGTCGCTCTGCGCTCCAAGATCCGCCCCCAGATTTGAAAGCTGTTTCCTGGAGCCGAGGGACGCCCGCAGCACGAGCCGGCGACGCTCTCGGCCTGCGCTCCGGAAGCCCCGCCCACTCCCAGCGTTCAGCGCGGCACCTGGGCCGCCATTGTTTGAATTTAAAAACGAAAACATCGCGGTGCGGTTCGCTGGTCTGGCTGGTTCGGCGACCTTTGCAGGTTAGGAAGTGGTTCTGGAGAGGGTGCTGGGGGAAAGGGTGGGTGGCTGCCTATTTTTCATGCCCGAGACGGGGAAACGGCTCAGGCAACGTGAACATCTTCCGACGCGGCTCGTGACGCCCATGGGGGTTACTGTCAGACTGGACTGCGGAGCGATGGGCGCACCTGGAGCCCCAAGTACTCGGCGAGCGTTGAGCCTTACTAAGGTTACGGTTTAAATCTCCCTCACATCGCCTGGTAGCTGAGTGACGCAAGGCCGTTTAATATCTCTGGGTCTCGGTTGTATCGTCTTTTGAAAGGGGGTAATAATAGTACTATTTCTTCGGGCTCTTGTGAAGATTAAATGACAATGAGCGAAGTTGTTAGAAACAGTGCCGGCACATAATAGACGCCAAATGTTTGCAATCATTCATGTCGTTATTATTGTTGATTCGGTTGTGGTTGAAAAACGGGCCTCTTTTGCCAAACCTGGTTTCCTTAGCTGAGCGGTTTGCTTGGCAGATGACATGACCTCTTTTTTGGGGGAGCCTTTTGGTGGCCTCTGTGCGTGTATTTCTAGGCTCCTACCGGTAGATGGGGTTTACCTTTCTAGAGGTTTACTGTGACAGGAGGAAGTGTGTGTTTCAGGACTGCTGTCATTCTCCTGTTTAGAAACTTTCCATCTCCTCCCACTTTCTGGTGATTCCTGTCTGTCCTTCATATTCCTTGCCGACTGATTAGTTGACACAGTTCATGCCTATGGATTTTGTTTTTAATCCTTGCATAAGGTGATTAATTCAGGTTTATTTTTGGTTTTAAAACAAGGTAGCATGTTTACTCAGGAACAGGGTAGCAGTGTGTATGTTTTATTAAATGTCCATCACCCCAAACTTTCAATGGCATCATAATAAAATGGCTTCATTTTTTTGTTCTGAAAAATTTTTTGATGTATAGTGTTGTGGATTACATTCAGAAACCTCATTGAGTAGAAGAATTTACTATTTTTCACTCAAGTCTCAAATCAAGGAGTTTCACTGAAGAAAATGTAAAGATGCTGATTCCTGTTCATGAGAACAGCTTTTGAGTTGAGAAATCAGGTTGAAGACCCTGTTTTCACAAAGATATATCACTAAAGATCGGGATCAATTTTATTTATTTATTTAGTTTTAATTTTTTAATTTTTTTTTTTTTTGGTGAAGAGGATTTTATTCTTTGGGTCACGAGAACAAGGAGTCTTTATCCCTGTGTAGGTCTTTGAATTCGTTTTAGGGGATACAGTGGTGGTATAAGACAAGGTTCTTGCTCTGTAAACTTTCCAGTCTAGTTAGGAAGGCCACATGTAAGTAGAAGTTAACTAAAATTATAAATGACAGTACATTGCAATACTAAGAAATGTAAGGAAGTAGTTTATTCATTGAAAACATCAATATTGTGAACAGATTAAAAAACCTCAGTATAATAGCCTTATTATTAAGTGGCAAAAATATTCATTTTAATTAAGTAATTTTAAAAAAGATTTACCAACCCCATTTCTCTTAATAAAAAATGAATTGAAGACAAAACTCATTCAGTTTTCAAGTGCTGATTTGAATGTATTTACATATGATATTTAATTTTTCCTTTGCATTTAGAAGAGTTAAATTGAAAGTAATTTCCCAGATAAGTCTGTTTATCTCCTAAATGCTAACACAAAGTCTGTAAGTAACATTCTTCAGAAGACATAAATAATTAAAATAACACAAAGGTGTGATTTACTCTGTGTTCCTCTTACTGTTTGATTTCTGAGAGTATTTCAAGCAGAGAATGGATATTTTATACTCTTACTTTGCAGGTTAGATTACCTTTACTTTGATGGGTGTCCCCATCAACAGCTTATTACTGTAGTAGACTGTGTTCAGTATTATTTCAGTATCTGTAAATATAATTTGGTCTTTTGTCATTATAATAGGTTTTATATCAAATGAAGCAGTCGATTTTTCTTTGAAATCTATTTGGAGGGAAGCAGTAAGCTGGACTTTAGAGACTTTAACCTATAATGACTTACATATTGACATATCAAGGTTGTCTTAAAGAAGTTCCTGCTATTCTTGCAGAATGGAATCTAATTTGAATCAAGATGGGATGCCTAGAGCATCTTATGTTTTTAGTGCTGACCCAATTGCAAGACCTTCAGAAATAAATTTTGATGGCATAAAGCTTGACCTGGCTCGTAAATTTTCTTTAGTTGCTTCAAACACGGAGGTAAGTACAAGAAAAATATATCTATTATCAAAATTTAGTGTAAATATTTGTGCGTGTGTGTGTGTGTGTGTGTGTGTGTATCTTTGTTTTTGATGTAATTAGAGCAGAGATTCTGGGTGTGAAGATAACTTTGTATCAGTAACTTTTTTATGGAACTCAAGATAAAAATGCATTATAGTTCATTTTCAAATAGTAGGTCTAAACATCTTAGTAAGTAACTATGCCCTAACTTAGTAGCTATCAAAAAAATTAACTTTAATTTTTGATCACTACAGTTGTTTACTAATTGATATGTGTTTTATTTATTTTACTTTTGCTATAGGGCATGTATGCTCACTAGAGAGAGGGACAGCAAGAAAGAGGGAAAGA